TAGGCCTGGTTTCAAAAGGACGTGTTGAGCAATAGTGTAGGAAAAAAATTTTGTATGCAGATGGTAAAAAAAAAAAAATAGAAACATCAACTGTAAGCAATATCGGCAAAACATATTTCCCTCCTAATCACAACTCAAAATTGCACTTATTCAGCCCTTTCCACCTTTCGCGTACCAATTAATCCTCCAACGGTAACATCTTCCCAATGATGCCTATAATCCTGAGTACGCGAAATCGCGATCAATGCAGCACCAATAAGCGGGAGTGTAGTCAGCAGTGATTTGTAAGTGTGTCCTTTTTTATCAAAGATGTGAAGTTTTCCGGCGAGATAGAACGTTAAGTAGCCCAGGCCTGCAAAGGAAGCTAATAAAAGAGGAATGAATATAGGATGGAGGAAAATCGTAATAAAGTATATGAGTAAGAACAGTTGAAGCTGATTTGTATTCAGTCATGTTAAGTCATTAAAACACAACAGACAGAACGTAATTAGTGATGTTGTACCTCAGTTGGGGACCTGTCTCAGTTCTGGACCGAAACAACTGGGTGTGGACTGAGTGACTGGGTTTCGAACTGAGAACTCAGACACACAGTGACATCAATGATTACGATTACCGTTGATATGTTGGAATTATCCAACGAACCCTGCCCCAAATACTTACTCGATGAATGCCCAGATGGCATACTCTTGTATCCATCATTCATAATATATTTGTCTGTCTGTGTGCAGATAGTCGAATTACTAAGTCCAAAAATAGGGTCATCCTGTGATCCCGCTTTGGGTTGACATCTATCGATGAAATCTGGTCTCGGGCGACCAACAGCAGTCTGGATTAAGGTTGGAAATTGCGGTGAGAGAAAAGAGAATGAACATGTGAAATGTGGGCTATACTTGATTGATAAGACACTAAGGAAACTACCCTAAACGCATTAATAATATTCATCTAATTTCCAATATCTCGCCCATTCTCACAAGCGCGCATGCCCACACAAATTTCCTTATCTCCCATTCCAGATCAATCCATACCTTTATGGCTTCGGTCACCATTATAGTAAGTGTAACAGCAAGGAATAAACCCAATAGTCCATGATGCAAGTCATGTACACTACGTCTGAAGAACAGAGCAATGACTGCAATTATCACAGCCGGAAGTAAAACGGCGATCACCTGAATAGGATTGTAGACAAAGATGGGGAAAAGGCAAGAGCGCTTTGTTAATGAAATATCCAGTAATCATCCACTCAAAGAGTATGATGCGAACTCTCTATAATTCACTCTTATTACAACACATACAAAAGCAAGCCATATTGGAACTCTCTCATGCTCGGCAAACGGATATTGTATAGTCGTATCTTCCAGTGAAAAGCGTCTATTAAAGGGTGTCAGGAAGGAATTTGTCAAGAGAAATGTGCCAACAAATAGTACTGGTAGAACCCAGCTGAGTGATAATTGTTTGGGGGAAAAAATCGAGATACAAGTCAATACGGTAAAGTTCAAGTAGTACTCTCTCTAATTTCACGAGCTCACTTACTCTAGTATGTAAGCAGCTATCAATTCCTTTGTGCTGTATTTTGTTGGCATTGCTCAAGGGTAGACGATAATAACAACTGGAAAAAATTATATATTTATAAATTTATATTCCTTTTGACCAAAAACGATCAACAAGATTACACCATGATACAATAATAGTAAACTTTCACACGGAAAATATATTATGCAGATTATGCAGATGCTTGACCATTTGCTTATGCCCGCGTACTTGCCTTGCCAAGCGTTTACAACCTTTAATCGGGGGGCTGTGCAAGGGAGGTGCCAAGCCGCACAACGTATTATTGCATGCATATCACGTGAGAAGAATGAAGCTCTACCTTGTATTAACGATATTATTCGGCAAGCTTGTAGAGGTTAGCGTGAGAAGGGACGCCAGAAAGTCTCCTTAAAAGTTAGTTAGTCTGCGATTTCCGAAACAATGGTAACCGTTAAGCAATTATGTTGTCTGTGTAGGCTCTCACTGCATCTCAACACTGGTTGATTTGTCCCTGCTCGAAACATTTATCGACTCGACCTCTGGGTTATCTATTATGGTAGGCTTATCTACTATTGTGGCTTAACCATTTTAATTAACAAGGATCATCATGGTTTACAGAAGGCATTGTTTGAATATTAAATATTTACTTTCCTCGCATAATTAATGCAACATGTCTTTTCCAATATTTTGATGCAAATATTATTGGTGGTGCTTGTTACCAAATCAAAGGCCTCAATGACAATCTTGTTTGCCTTTCGTATGTTACGTATTTTATAACAGTTTTCCTCTAGGAGCAATATAATTGTATCATCCGAATAGATAGTCTCACTTACAGTGGCAGTGTTTGGTCAGGTCTAAATAATGCAGTTGTTATTCCAGGTGCATATACTGTAAATCTTACAATGTCATATAACCATCGTAGTGCTGCAAAGAAAGAATACTTCATGCTCTTGCTATTAGCGGAAGTATTTATGGTACCAAGCTGGTGTAGACGTATAGTTCACGTGCGTAGTTGTTATTCTTAAGGCACACACGCACCTCTCTGCTGGTTGTTATAACACAATAACTAACATTCAACATGAAACTTTGAAAAAAATGCGTTTGTTTTTTCATAATTACGCGGAACGTTGTTATATTCGTTGTACCAAGTCATAGCAGTATTGTAACTACAGTCAAAACTGGATCTAACGATGAAATTTGTCAAAACATTCTTATTTAATTTCACCTGGTTATACTGATTTTTACTATTAAAACCTCGTTATTCCGTATAATGATACGTATACTAACTATTGTAGCAATATATTTTTATGCCGATATTGCTTACAGTTGATGTTTCTATTTTTTTTTTTTACCATCTGCATACAAAATTTTTTTCCTACACTATTGCTCAACACGTCCTTTTGAAACCAGGCCTA